CCCAAAAACCCCAAAGGCGGCCCCGGGGGAGTTGTAGGGGAAAAGGGTGGGGTTCGGTTTTTTTGGGGTTTTTTGGGGTTTTTTTGGGGTGCTGGAAGGGGTTGATAAGGGTTGGGGGTGGAACTGGAAGGTGCTCGGGAGCGGGAATGGGGTTTGGGGAGGATTTGGGGGATCCTAAAAGGGGGAAATGGGATTTGGGGGATCCTAAAATGGGAGTGGGGGATCCTAAAAGGGTTTGGGGGATCCTAAATGGGGTTTGGGGGATCCTAAGTGGGGTTTGGGGAGGATTTGGGGGATCCTAGAAGGGTTTGGGGGATCCTAAATGGGATTTGGGGAAGATTTGGGGGATCCTAAAAGGGTTTGGGAGATCCTAAATGGGGTTTTGGGGATCCTAAATGGGATTTAGGGGATTCTAAATGGGGTTTGGGGAGGATTTGGGGGATCCTAAAAGGGTTTGGGGGATCCTAAAGGGGTTTGGGGGGTCCTAAATGGGGTTTGGGGGATCCTAAATGGGATTTATGGGATCCTAAAAGGGTTTGGGGGATTCTAAATGGGGTTGGGGGATCCTAAATGGGATTTGGGGAAGATTTGGAGGATCCTAAAAGGGTTTGGGAGATCCGAAATGGGGTTTTGGGGATTCTAAATGGGATTTGGGAGGATTTGGGGGATCCTAAAAGGGATTTGGGGGATCCTAAATGGGGTTTGGGGAGGATTTGGGGGATCCTAAAATGGGAGTGGGGGATCCTAAAAGGTTTTGGGGGATCCTAAATGGGATTTGGGGAAGATTTGGGGGATCCTAAAAGGGTTTGGGGGATCCTAAATGGGGTTTTGGGGATTCTAAATGGGATTTGGGAGGATTTGGGGGATCCTAAAAGGGATTTGGGGGATCCTAAATGGGGTTTTGGGGGATCCTAAAAGGAGTTTTGGGGATCCTAAATGGGGTTTGGGGGATCCTAAAAGGGTTTGGGGGAGGATTTGGGGGATCCTAAAAAGGGGAAATGGGATTTGGGGGATCCTAAAAGGGGTTTTGGGGGGCCTAAAAGGGGTGTGGGGAGGATTTGGGGTATCC